CCCCGTCTGCTTATACGTAACTAGGCATGATAATTTTAGTGCTCTGGACACACCCACGGCTTAGATCCCCTACACAATGAACCAAACTTTAGCATCCTGAACCAGCTAGAAAGTACTTAATCTAACTGGCCGTATGACAGTCCTTTGAATACCAGGTCAACAGACACTCGTGGCGATACTGGGAGCACGGTTCAGCATTCTCTCACCACTGTCTCACTGACCGAGGGGATGGACGATTGCGGAGCTGCCCGGTCTAGACCAGCCATTCCGGCAGCAATTTAAGAATGGAACCGACGGTAAACAGTGGTGTCTGCGTTTTTGGTGAAACCTGACTCCTTGCTACACTGACTACTCCTGTGAGACAAAATGGCATCCCTGTGCATTTTAAGGGGAGTGTGCAGCGTTGACTTACCTGGTCATCTTTTATGTCCTTGAGGGTGTAACTGACGACACTGATGCCCATGTTGATGAGGTCCGAGCTGGCCACCTCAAAGACGGCCTTGGAGAACTTCTTGCGGTCCTTGTAGATCTCCTCCACGGTCATGTTGCCCATGATGGCGCGTTGGTGACCCTCAAGGGTTTCCTTGGCAACCTCTTGAATCTCCTCTTCTGTCTTTCCCAAAAATTGCTCGCAGGCGGCGCTCAACATTTCGGTATTTGAGCCCTGCACTTTTACCTAAGAGAAGGACAGACCGATAAGACTCGAAAAAGGCTTAAAACGGAGGCTGTTTGAGTTCTGTGTCAGTTTGACGTGAAAAAGAGCGTTGTTTCACAACGGGAAAGGAAACGGGAGCTCAACAACTTACAGTGTGTGCACGAAATCGCGCAAATTTCATGACGAAACTTGACTTGGTAGTTTAGCATACATTTGGTCACGTTATTTTGATCCACTGAGTGGATTTAATCCTGGGAAAATCTTTTAGTTGGGAAAATCGTCCTTTTAGTTAGGTTTATTAAGGGTAATGGGCATTAATTTTTACGAAATTGGGAGTAGTCTTATATCGAAGGAATTTCCTATGATATTAAGTACGGCAGAATTAAACATTGTGCTATGGAACAACTCAAAAGTAAGTGAGGGAAGTTTAAAACATACTACTTCCATAACCGGAAAATGTAGTCCGAAGTTGCTCAAATGTAAGTGAGGACAATTTTAAAGAGTCTTATATATTTCCAGAAACAAGAAAAGATTTCAGTTTTAGAAATTATTTTTTTGCTAAATTGTGAAATTTTTGGCACAAAATGAAGTAGAAAAGCTTTTGAACGCATTTCGTTTTACCTCATCAAGTTTTAGAAGGACGTTACCAAAGCTGGTCATATATTATCGCGAATGTTTAGGGAAAACCAAATCTTATTAAATCTAAATCATTTAGAAATATACGTTTTGTACACTATAATTTCCGCTTATGTATAATTTAGAAATGGAACAGAGAGAATAATAATAATAATGTCAAAATCTTGCTATATATACCCACACTTTTGCATTCGCAAGCTTAGAACAGAGCCTGGAAGTAATCTACTATGGCAGAGAATAATCCAATCAAATTGAATCATTTATCTTCACGTAATTTAAAAAGCAAAATCAATATCAGGCTTTTGTTACGGACGTTCTTTTTTCTCGACAATGTGTTTTGCTGCTGGGAGGAATTTCTAAATATGGTCCCATGGCCATCTTCATACGAAGTAATATCCAAAAAATCATTTCTTTGGTAAATCCATTTAATCGATATTTTATTTTCTAAGGTTTTGATATAAACGTCGAACGGAATCTGGACTTATGCACGAAAGCCTGAAGACACTAAAAACGCTGGAAAATTTATCGATATTTAAAGGTCCACCTGTAAGTAATGATAATAAAAAAACAAAAATATGTTTAAAATATTTTGACTAAGGAAAAGTTCTTTTTATGTAAAGAAAGTGGTGTGATAACTCACTAAACTTAAGCAAACATTTAAATGCATTGTTCTGATTTATAGCTATTTTTAAGTCTATGGAACTTGAGGATTATTAAGAAAAGTTTGTTTTTGTTAAAAAACAATCAGTATTTTTTTATATTTCTTTTGAGTAACAAATATACCTCAGATTGCTCATTACTACTTCTAAGTACATGCATTAATGCTGGTTTGTGAGTGATTATCAATATTTCGCAAATTTCGGCATGTTGCACGATTTCGTACCCATACTGTACATGTTTGAAAAATTGGCATAGCCAGACCTGGAAGGGTTATATATTTAAGTAGCAGGCCAAAATGAAACCCAAATGCTATGGTTTGGGGGGAGGGAGGGCACATGCGTCTAGATTTCAAATCTACTGTACGATAAGTGACTTTAAATACGATGCCCTGAACTGCATCAAAGAGAGAGAGAGAGAGAGAGAGAGAGAGAGAGAGAGAG